CTTCTGAGTTTTGTGCAAATGGGCCAAATTTTGTTTGTTTCTTTGACCAAATCTTTCGTGTACTTCTATGCATTTTGTGTGTGCCTGTTATGGTGGCATAGACCTCTGGTTCCTGTAAGCCACCTTGAAGGGCTGCAGAGCCCTGCCTCAGCCCTGCTCATAGCTTGCTTATCCTGAGGAACTTCTTTTCAAAGGTTTTACTGGACACAAATAAAATAAAACCTTCAAAGTTAAAGTCTATTCCTTTAATTTCAGGATTATCACTAATTCGAGCTACTACCTTCCAAAACTGGAAGAACAAACTTCTGGCAGTGCATTTGATGAATGGTGTAGAAAAACGCAGATTGTGCCCTTCATTTGAAGAAGCCTTCTTGTCTGAATGGAGCACTGTATTTCACATCCTAATAACCATTTATTAGCACAGAATTTAAGGAAAGTTAGCTTTTCAGTTCTGTGTAAGCCTTTCTATTCATTGAGGTTTCATGAGGTAGCCAAGTGATTTTTCTACCACTGGCTGATTCCCAGCCGCTCTAATGAGCAAATGTTCCTCCTGAGACTCAGCTCTCCCCTTGCACGTGATTTTAATTAATCCCCTTGCCAGTGAATTTAATTTTTAACTGGACTGAAATAATTTTACCATCTTACAAGTCCTTGAACAACCCAATCCAAGTGGACCTGCTTCAGCCAGATGTGCTCCTGATGTCCCTGCAGACCCAAATGTTTCCGTGACTGCAGCTGGGATTGTGCCAGCTGCTCTGGGGAGCAGCCTTGCAGAGGCACAGACCAGAGCCCTTCAGGGTCTGAAATTTGCAACCAGCAGCTAATGGAAACAGTATGGGCTTTTCATCATAAAGTTTGCACTATGGAAACATCTGGATGTCCTGATTTATCCTTTATCAGTGAGGCAGACAGTTCTCCCAAATAGTTTTATTAGAGTTTATCTCTCTCTGACTGTTTGTGAATAGTGTTTAGTTTAAAATATTCAGTGCCTCCATTATTACTGTAGAAACACAGCTACAAGCAAATGCAACTATAAATCAACTGATGACTTGGACAGAAAAAACCAGATCTGCCTGGATACCCAGCAGGCAATGGGAGGAACTGTTTCCATAAGTTGTCACTGGTATCTGACCTATGTCCTGGTCTTGACTTGTCAGAGACAATGTTAAATGTTTCTCTCCATAGAAAACATAATTAATACGAATAACAAAAAGTGTTGATTCTCTCGTGTTTTTTATTGTGTAAAAATACATTTCCTATAGTAACATTAAAACTACCATGTGCTTATTCAGAAAAAGAGAATTAACATTTACCATCAGGATTTTTTTTCCTCACACTCAAAAAATGCTGTGCTCATGCATGTGAACACAGGAATTCTCTTCTGCAGACAAGCCTCTCAAGGGGGAGCACATGCCCCAAATTATATTTTAAGATTCAAATGTTAATATGTGTACCTGCAAAGCACTGCTGGGGCTATAATGCTTTTATCATTTATGCAGAAGCTACTGGAACTTTTTTTTTAAATAGGTCTATCTGTGCTAGAAAAGTAAAAAAATAGAGGGAGAGATGTTTTGGATTTTTTAAAAAATCTTACTCATGCTATATCAATCATATATTTAAATTAAGAGGTGTTAGAAAGGACTAGGGCCACAACCCTATTGGTTTTTATGCAGTTCCAAAGGCTTCTTTGGTGGAAGTCGGAATCAATTTCTTAAATCTGTAATAAATTACATGAGAGATCTTACTTTGGTTTTCTTCCACAGCAGTACAGACAGCTCTTTGTCTCCTTGATCAGACAGGCAGCCTGCAAAGAGCCATTTGAAAAATTCAACAGTTTTCCCTGATCTCAGCCTTTTACACCAACTTACAACTCACCCTAAAATGCCAGTATTAAAGTGAACAAGATCTAAAATGATGAACTCCACAGTTAAAAGCACCAAAGATAGGTTGGCAAGGATGCTGAGCGTTACCCAGGGTATAACAACATGCTCCCCAGAGTGATGCAGAGATCAGGCTGCCAGCCAAAGTCAAAATCCCCAGACATCCTCAGAACAGGGAAATGTATGAAGCAGTAAGAGTTAAAGGAAGATGAAAAGTCCAAGTCTTGGCATTTACCTTACTGGGCCTCTTTTGTCTCAGGATCCTCAGCCTTGAACTTTCTGTAATGTTTATGAACACCTAAGTCTGGTGCTCCTGGTTCCCAGCAGTTATTTCACACTGTAAAGACTGAGGACTGAATAACAACTAAATTGAATAACAAATACTCACTGCTTGAAGTCAAACCAGTGTGCTAACAAACAGGATCCACAAACTGGAATAGTTTGGACAGGAAAGGCAGAGAGACCCAGTGACCCCATGGGCAGTCCCTTGAATTTAGATATGTTATAGCTGAGGTGAATGGAAACACGTGTGTGTATGGGAACATCCCTCTCTCCAGACTTGTGTGTCTGGATTTTTGGGATGCTGAGAGGCTGTGTGAGGGGGAAAGCAGCTCAAGCTGCAGCGGAGAGACTGCACGCATGGCATCAGCCTCATCTGTGAGCTTCTGTGGTGCAAGATGCATTGACTGTGCCACAGTGACCTTGTGTGAGCCTGCCCAGGCTGTGCAGGAGCAGACTGGCCATCTGGGAGATTTTAGTGACATCAATAACAACTCCTAATATGTTCTGATATGTTTGTGGGGCCATATATAAAAGATAAAGCCTATATCATATGGCAGGATGGATAAAATGAAAGAATCACTAGTTGATGTAATATGGATCATGGTCAGAGGATGCTCAGGCAAGTCCTTGGATCATGGTCAGAGGATGCTCAGACAAGTTTATTATCACTCCTTTGAGCTATGAGAAATAGTTAAGGCAAAGTCGATCAGTAGTTCTGATTCAATTTGAGTATCTCACCAGCATTTGGCAGTGGTTTGTGCCCTCAGAAGCATTTAAATATATCAGAAGACCACAAAACATAAGCCTAACAGATGGCAAGGCTTGCTTGGGCTGAAGGAGGCTAAGGAGGATGTTGACATTTCTGTTTTCCAGATGGAAATGCACACTGCAAGTCAAACGAGGGCTAGGAGCTGCACAATGCTCTCACCAGAGCTCAAAGCAGATGTCCCACTGCTGTTTGCTGAGACCTTCTCTTACAGTGCTCCTCAGTTTGCTTCCTCTGGCAAAGCCATTTGGAATTTCAAAGCTTCTAAACCACACTCAAACACATGGTGAGCAAACCCAGGTGGGGAAACAATTGTGAACGTCCATGGAAATTTTGTTCTCTAAAACCCTGAGTGATTGCCTGGGAAGGCGTGGAGTGCTGCTGCACTGTGTACTTCAGCTGCTGCACCTTGCCTGAGGAAATTAATTCTGTAATGCAGAAGTCTGGCACCCTGTGAAGGGACACACCTTAGCAACAGCCTGCGTTGATGCTGAGGATCCCCAGCCCTCGGTAAGGACGCTTGTGTGAACATGCAGGTGACACAGAAATCAAACATCACCGCCCTCACAGCACTGCCATCAGCCCAGAGGCAGCAGGGTTTGCTGACAGCACCGAGCCATTGCTCAATGAAGCCTCTGCCCGTGTTTGTGGATGCTGACTGAGGCTGTCACCAAAGCAATTGTTACAATTAAGGATTTACATCATTCCATAAAATTTCCCAGCTGGTTTAGGGAACCATTGTGATTTACCAGCTGTTTTTTTGAAGTTGGCAGGGTGGAATGCTGCTCTTCTTCACAAGGTAGGAGCCCTCAGCTCAGCAGTGTGGCTGACGTCAGTGGCAGCTCTCAGGACAGCGTGTGACGGGGTTGGTGACAGCAGTGTGACTGACCTGTGCTGCAGCTCTCACTTCACTGCTATTGTTCCACCGGCACAGACAGGGAAAGGGGAGAAGTGGCTTAAGTGAAGAGCCACATGAAGGGGTTCAGTCCACACAAAAATGTGGTTCCATGCAGCCTGTTTGAATGACTCAACTTCTTGTAGCATTCTTTCCTGCAGGAGAAATGTGTGGTTTTGTTAAATACTTCAGGAAAATAAGTGTTGAAGCTTATCTCCCCCTTCTGGAAACTCCACAAATACTGCGAAGTTTGCAGTATACAGGAGCTACCTCAAACATTTGTTATTTCTATTTTGAATTCTTGAGGACATATCACATCCTTTCTTTTACAGTGCTTTCAATCCGAGAATGATGAAAAGCAATGTATGATTTGGAATTAAAGCAGTATGGGATGGTTTACACTGGATAGCCGAAAACTTTCCCTTTGTTACTAAATTGCCAATGTTCAGTCTGGCAATACCAGGTTTTTCGAAAAAGCCCCAAATCCTTTATTGTTCAGAAGGATTTTGCGTCCTTACCTTGGGTTCTGTTACAGTGAAATCTGTGACTGATGCCCAGCTGATACTTTATCACAGTTTCCCCTGGCGGTGCATCAGCATCCCGCTGTGGCGTTAGGCGGTGTCTTGCAGACACAGCTCCTTCATCGGACAGGAGCTACCGAGCGCCGGGCAAACACCTGAAGGCGTGGAAGGGAATTGCCGGGGGCTGCGGGAGCGCCGGGAGGAGAGCCGGGGGGAGAGCCGGGGGGAGAGCAGCGGAGAGAGCCGGGGAGAGAGCCGGGAGGGCTCCGGGAGCGCGGGGCATGGCCCAGCAGCGCTGCCGCCGCTCGGCTCGCTCGGCGCGGCTCGGCGCGGCTCGGCTCGGCTCGGCGCGGCTCGGCTCGGCGCGGCTCGGCTCGGCTTGGCGCGGCTCGGCTCGGCGCGGCCGGGGGCTCCGGCACGGCCCGGGGATGGCTCGGTGGGGCCGGCCCGAGGGGCGGGAGGCCCCGGCCCCGTGCCAATGGCTGAGGGGGGTGGCTCTGCCGGGCCGTCTCGCCCGGTTACAGGATGGAAATTCCCGGCCTCCCCGGGGAGGGGGCTCGGGCTGCGCGCTCTGAAAGGCTCATTTATCTCCGCGCTGCCGCCCGGAGCGGGGAGCCGCGCTGTGCCGCGCCGCCCCGCGCATCCCGCCCCGCACGATGCCCCGCGGCCCGGCCGCCGCCGCCGCCCCGCTGCTGCTGCTGCTGGCGCTGCTGCTGGCCGCGGCCCCGCCGCACGGCGGCTCCGAGAGCCCCCGGGGCAAGCAGAAGGCGCTCCGCCAGCGGGAGGTGGTGGACGTGGTGAGAGCGGCGGGCCGGGACCGGGAGCGGGGAGGGCGGGGGGCGGCTGGAGGAGCCACGCAGCCGCTTTGTTATTGCAAAGATACCAAAAAGGCGATAGATCAGAGGCTTTCGAAAAGCCTGGCGGCCGCTCCAGACAGGACAGCGCCGGTCCCGCGCCGCTGGGCATCTCTCGGTTCAGTTAATCGAGCCCTTGTTGTGCTGAATCAGGAAAATGCGGAGGAGGCGCTGCACGGGCTTTGACACAAACCGCGGGGGCTCGGCGGCCCGGTGCGTGTGTGTGTGTGTGTGTGTGTGTGTGTGTGAGCGCTGCCCCACCGGCCCCGGGCCGGGATGGCGGCTGGCGCCGGCCGAGCCCGCGCTCCCCGCCGTGCCCGGGGCCGGCGCTGCGCTCCCCGCACTGCAGGGGCAGCGCCGGAACCTCACAATCAAACGTCGGTAGTGAATGCTGCTTAGCTCCTTCCAACGTAAGCACTTAACTGCTGCTTAGCTCCTAAATGCTAGTGGATAAATAGTAATGAGAAAAACTATCTGCATGCTCTGAAACTGTCTGCATGCCCACCGAGCACACTTTCCATCGGAGTGGCATGAATGCATTATTTCCTTCAGCGGCAGGGACTGCACACCATTGTTTGAAATTCCACTGCTACTAGAAACCTGAATGCATTGGGACTATCCCATCTCAGGGATAGATGACAGGAGGGAAATTTTCCAGTCCTTGGAATGTAGAAAGCAGATGTGAAGGTATTTCTGTGAGTTGCTGCACTGCCGTTCCCCTTCTATAGAAAATCAGTGGTATGACCATTTCTTCCATGATCTCCAGAGAGATCCCCTAAAGGATGTGCTGGAAGCACCACTGCTAACAAAGCTCCTTCCCTTCCACACCACTTCATTGTCTTTTCACTTCTATTGTGGAAATTGAATTGCATGGAGAATAAGGAGTCTGTATGCATGGACGAGTTAACATTTTCTGAGCCGTGTTTCAGGATCCCTCAGCGCTTTGAAATTGCTCAGTGCTTTTTGGGTGCAGCAGAGTGAGCAGCAAAGTGTGGGTAAATCAATGGCAGCTGACTCATGCACAGCCCAGCTGTACAGATGCTTCAGCAGAAGCCCTGCCAGGGCAGAGTGGAGGCAGGACTGAGGGGGGATCCTGCCTTCAGTGGATGTTTAAAGTATGTTTTATACATTTCCAGCTTAAGAAAACATGAAAAAGACTTGACTTGGCAAGACACAATTTTAGTTGGAGTAGAGCCCAAAGCCCAGGTGATTCTTGTGCTCCCATTTATTTTTTGGGATGTGCAATGGCTGAGGTGCTCTCCCTGTCTGGCTGTGGGCGGCAGCTCCTGTGTGGGGACAGGCCAGCCCTTCCTGGTGTCTCTGGGGATGGGGGCAATAGGCCACAGCTTTGGCCTGACCCAGCTCTTGCTATTTCCACATGCAGGATTTCTGTGGTGAGGAACCACATGCGAAAGCCAGAGCCAGTCACTGTTACAAATGGAGTCCAGTGGGAAAGCAACAGCAAAACCAGATCACTGTTGCTGTGTGAAATAGAAATGTCCTTGCATTGTTCTCCTGGGTTGGTGCTTTGCCAACCAACCCTTTCTCAGCGAACTTTTCTGAAGCATGGTTTTCTTCGTGAAAATATTCCAATATTTCCACTGCCTTTAGCCAGCAGGGTTTTCTTTGGTGAAGGTAGTAAGGGAAAGCTAGCAACCATTAGTCACACCCTCATCTGGCTTCTTACTAGACCTCTCCATGCAGTCACTGATTTTACTTTTGGTGTGGCTCCAGCTAAGCCTGTGATGGCTCTGCTGGTTTTTGCACCAGAGCCTGTGAAAAGGCACAGCCTCAGTGAAGAAAATTCACCAATTTGACAAAGGAAAGAGGGCAGAGGCAGTTTACAGCTCACAGTTTAGTTTACAGCTCCTGCAGGGCAGACAGGGGCATGGCTGGCATGAGGGGGAATAGCTTCAGCACTGTTTCTTTTTGAAACAGACGGGCATTAGGTGGTTTAAACTAGATGAAGACAAATAAATATGAGAAAGTGGAAGAGCAGAATACAGCTATCTGTGAGGATTTGGGATGAAGACTGGAGGAAGCAGTCAGCACCAGATAGGACAGAGCACATGAAGTAAGAGCCCTGGCCAGCCCCTGCAGGTTCCTGCTCAGCATTCCCATGCCCAGTGCTCCTCCCACATCCCAGCCCTCAGGCTGCTGAGGGAGGGGGCTCTGGGCTTCACAAACCTACTCTCCAAGGTGGGCAGAAGGTGAGAAGGTGATGTGTGTTAACATGGAGTTTGGGAGGGCAACATTTGACCTTTCCTAATGCTGTGATGTTAGGAAGGATGTGAGTGTGCCCTCCTCCCATGTCTGCTTTCCCTCTGTTACAAGCAGGCTTCCTGAGTTCAGCTTTATTCCAGGATGCAGCTTCCCACATCCATATCACCACCATTTGTGTGCATATTGGAGTCTGAACTGTGGGGCTTGATTATCACCATGTGGTTGTCACCTCCTCACCAGAGGAGCAGTGACAGAAGAAAAGTGGCATTAACCTCTGCTCTCTATGAAATAGAAAATTTTCTTAGGAAAAAAAAAAACATACTGAACATGTATTAGCATAGACAGTTATACAAGTAATGGTGGGTTAGGAGAAAGTAACTATTAACATGTGACTTCCTTTTTTTGTTTCTGTTTTGACTCTGGTGAAGTTTTCCAACAGGTTTTAATTCTTGGACTAGATAATTTTTTAATGCTAAGATTTATGCATCTTTTCATTAAAAAAAGTTGCATCCTCTTTTACAGCAAATTCTGCTGACACTGCTTATCTTTGAAAATTTATTCTTCCTTTATTTTTTTTACTTCAGTGGAACCATTTTCTGGGAGATGCAGAAATAGCCCATTGTGGCACAGCAGGGGGGGTGTGCTTTGTTGTTATTCACTTGTGTTTGACTTGGTTAGCCTCGGAATTGAGGGGTGGGAGCAGCAAGATCTGTTCTCTCTTCCAGTATAATGGCATGTGCTTGCAAGGCCCCAGCGGCGTTCCCGGCCGGGATGGAAACCCGGGAGCCAACGGGATCCCTGGGACACCCGGGATCCCGGGAAGGGACGGGCTGAAGGGGGAGAAGGGCGAGTGCATGCGGGAGAGCATCGAGGAGTCCTGGACGCCCAACTTCAAGCAGTGCTCATGGAGTGCGCTGAACTACGGCATCGACCTGGGCAAGATCGCGGTAAGCGGCGCCGCACCGGGGCTGCACAGCTCCAGCCTCACATATTCCCTGCTTTCCTGCATGCAAGGGTGAGCTTCTCAAAGGCTTAGCTACTTTGGATTGCTCTCAGCTGTGTTCCAGCTCTGTGTCTCTTTCATTCCTGGAATAGGGTTTCGGAAGAATTTTGTGGCTGGTGTAAGAGTACGTTCAGTAGACCAGGTCTGTCACTGTAAGGCTGAAAGTCACAGTACCAAAAAAGTACCTCTAGCTTGCCCAAAACAGGGCAAGGTTTTCACCATTTCAATCCTAAGAAGGGATGAACATCTTTAATCTGTTATTTGTATCCGTCTTTATAACTTTTGCTTCATAGTGGTTACTCACTGAAACTCAGTTGCAGTTGCAGGATGCTTCTGCAAAGGATCAGCGTTGCTCAGGAGCAGAGTTGCCAGTGTCACCCAGACTGACACAAACACTCTGTCCTCACTGCAGCCCTGGGTGTAAAACTTTAGAAAAAATCCCTGCTCAATCCCAGCTATGAAGCAAAGCCCAGAGTGATTACAGCAGTTTAACTGCTGCGCTGTGGCTAGAGAGAGAATCAAATTTTTCAATAGACTTTTCTAACTTGCAGAACTGTCCCTAACTTTTTACTTATTTCTTTTATTTCCCCCCTTTTTATTCCTTTTTTCCTTTTTAGTTTTTTTTTCCCTTTTTTTGGTATTTTTTGTCTTTTTCTTTCTTTTTCTTTCTTTTTCTTTCTTTTTCTTTCTTTTTTTTTTTCTTTTTCTTTTTTTGTCTTTTTTTTTTTTTTTTTTTTTTTTTTTTTTTTCCCGGTGAAATCCAGCATGTTGAAGACAGGCTAACAACCACTTAAAAACCTGAAAGTGCTTATTTTTCAGTTGTGGAGCTTTTGCTGGGTATAAACTGCTCAGAAGTGTTGTGATAATCGTTAAGCCCAGGATTTCTGTTAGCAGAGACAGAAACTGTGCTGTCTTGTCGTGCAAGGACTTGGGGGTGGAACTAGATGATCTTCAGAGGTCCTTTCCAACCCTTATGACTGTGCGATCCTGTGGCTTGAGTGCAGCTTTCAGAGAGTTTTTATCCGTTTACATAAATCCCAGAAGGTGACTAGGCTAGCAATTTAACAGCAGGACTTATCTAAATAAAGTTAAGAATTTCCATAATCCATTTTTCCCTTACCATCTATGAGGTGCTGTTCTGATTTGCATCTTTGCGCCACAAGGGATTTCCCAGGCTGTAATTTTATTTTTTTTCCCAGAGGGGCCTAAAGAGAATAGCTAAAACATTTTGAAATAAATGTCTTCCTAAATCAGTGTCCTAAATATAAATATATAGGAAATAGATGGGCTCAACCCCAGGGGTTTGTGCCAGAGCACCTCTGTCTCCTGCCAGGAATGCACGTTCACCAAGATGCGCTCCAACAGCGCCCTGCGCGTGCTCTTCAGCGGCTCGCTGCGGCTCAAGTGCAGGAGCGCCTGCTGCCAGCGCTGGTACTTCACCTTCAACGGGGCAGAGTGTGCTGGCCCACTGCCCATCGAGGCCATAATATACTTGGATCAAGGAAGCCCAGAGCTGAACTCTACCATTAACATACACAGAACTTCCTCAGGTACGTATGCCGGGGGAGCAGAGATGGAGCAGGAGGCAGCAGCAGCAAACACAGAGAGTGGCCAACTCACACTTGTTCTCTTACTCTGCTGTCTCAGAGCTGGCTATTGATAAGTGATAGTATTGTAATTATTTATTAAGTGGTACTTTCTTGCTGTGGTACTTTTCGTGGTACTATATCCTGAGATTTAGAAATGGAAGAGATTTCTGTCCATACAGGTCTACTGATCTCTGCCACAACATGACTACAGAGACATTCTGTGCTGTATTAACCTATGGAGAAACAGCCTTACTGCCAAGTAGACGGTGTCATCTTGGCTTAAAATACTGGTATTTGCACATTATCTGTGCAAAAATGACACTTTCCTCCTGCAATTTCTACTCTGATTTCAGGAGGGGTGCAAAAGTACCTCCAAAGTGGGGAGCAATCTGGGAGCAATTATTCTCTTGCTTAGCAGAGGCAAATTAGTGAATTCATTTAACATAAAAGGATGTGATACTAAGAAAAAGAAACATAATGTCTGTGTCCTTTCTTCATTTTTCTCCCTGTACTGCATGACTGCATGAAATCTAAGGTCTAGAGCTGTTATAGGATTTTTTCAGCATAGGGGTAGAGCTGACTTGTCTTCATTACCCCACCTCCATCTGGTGGTGCTAGTGGGGCATCAGGAGTGCAACTCCATGCAGAAGCAGTGACTGACATGTGGAAAAGCTTACAGGGTGGCAATCACCTTTACAGAGCTGAGCTGTAAACCAGGCATGGCTGTACCCATTGAAGGTACACACCTTCATACCATGGAAGGGTATGAAGCCATATTCCAGCTCCCAGTGTGTAAATTTGGGTATTTAAGGCAGCAGTTATACCTCCCATTTTGCCATCCTGTGGATGGTGATCTGCTTCAGGTACTGCAGTGAGTGTAAAAGAGCAGCACAGACAGAGGCACTGCATGCCTTTTAACTGATGTTGCCACATCTCTACATAAGAGTTTTTATTGCCGAAATTGTTTTAAAATTCTAAAACCTTTTCACCTTTAACTAAATAGCACAAGCTTGCAACAAGTTGCTGTTTTTAAGCACTTGAGTCCACCTTCAGTTGAGAAACACAAAGGGATTGTGTCTGCTGAGGTAACCTGACTTTTGTCTTTAACCAGTGGAAGGTCTGTGTGAAGGGATCAACGCTGGCTTGGTGGATATTGCCATCTGGGTGGGGACGTGCTCAGATTATCCACGGGGAGATGCTTCTACTGGATGGAATTCAGTCTCCCGAATCATCATTGAAGAACTGCCAAAATAACTTCCCTCTCTTTTTATAATACCTTTTTTTTTTTAAATTTTGTACTATTTTTTTCAGAATTTATTTCAATAGAGTTGGACACAAGTACTGGACTGAAAGGCACCAAAGCCTTGCATCTGTAGCCTTTGTCTTGTTTTGTACACAGCAGAGGCTTTTTATAATAATCATTTTAGAATACAAATATCAAAACCAAGTTCATTAACATTTTAAACTTCTTTTTTGATGTAATACCACCACTGTTTTTAGAATTAACCATAACTTTTTGTATCAAATAAATAAGACCTTTTACAAAAAAGAAATTCGGGTTATTTTATTGAACATTAATGTGTTCAAAGTATTTTACATGGTGTTGTGATACACGATATCTTTAGAAGGCTTTATAGATAAAGTTCAAAGAAAGTAAAATCAGGTGTTGGCTTTAGCCTTCAGAAAACACATATAAAATGCACTCCTGTAAACCTGACTGCAGAATAGGATGCTCTGCTGTTACAGTCTTATCTCAATGAACTCCTGGTGACTTAACTGTGACCCAGACAATGTGGTAAGTGTTAAATACCTCATATTATGAATAACTGAGCAAAACCAGACTACCTAAGCTCTTCTTCCCTCTCTCGCTTCTTGACAGACTGAATTTCAGTGTAATATCTATGACTGGTCTCCATTACTAAGATGCAGACACTAAATAATTTTACAGTTACGACACTTAATTTCATTGCTCCAATAAAATAATTCTCCTGCATTTAGCCTTTCAGTTATACAGAATCACTTTGGTCTTGGTTAAAAACTAGATGTATTAAACTGTTTAGAAGATACAGACATAAGACAGGTTGAAATGCCTAGGCTTTCCAAAATTGAACTGATAAAGTGAAACAATGATGTCACAGCTGTTTGACAAGTGACAACACCGATCACGCTAACACAGAACATAAGCTTCAGTGTTTTAAGTATTTTCTTCCAAATGCTGCAAGTGGCATATTCAAACATTTTTTAAATTTGTACACATTCTAAAGAGAAACAACAATTATGTTTGTATTACAAAACCAATTTTACATTAACAAAATAAAAAAACTCATGAAAAGCATGTACAACATGCAAAAATCTCCACTCTTCCCAGAAATTAAAAGGAAAAAACCCATTAAATCTGAGATAATGAATTTATTTCAGCTATTTAGAATTAAATCTCATTTTCTTTTCTGAACAAGCTGTACGATTTGCCCCAGGATGGGCAGCCCTTGCCTGTAGCTGTTGTTGCAGATACCAGGGGAGGACACCTGCAGCGAGGGGAGCACTCGGGCTTGCTCAACTGCAAGATGGTGTGTGAGATTTGCTGCAAGCCAGCGAGTTACACAGCTGGTATTTTGTCTCTGAAGAACTGCAATGTTTTCACTGGCTTGGAGGATGGTTTTAAGGTACCTGAACACAAACAAGTTACTATGAGCTGAGCTGCGGTGTGAACTTACAGAACGTCCGCTAACACACAGTGAGTGATTGTGCACATGCTCACAGCCTGCCCCTGCATTTATCCTGAAGCATGGGTAAGCTGTTCTGGCCCAGAGCACATTAATTCAGGCTTGGATTATGTGCACAGCTTTTTCTCTTTTATCATGTTTTCATATGTCTTCACAATATATTCTGGATCCTGGGTGGTAGTTAATTCAGTGTTCCATTAAATTTGTTCTGTGTACCACAAAAGACACAAAGCCCAGTAAGCACCCTCCAAAGGCAGAAGCTGCTGTTTTGGATCTACATTATTTACATGGTAAACTTCCAGTAAATTTATCTTCAGCTAAATATACACAGAACCTTCCGTAATAAAAACCAAAGCCAGCCATGCTGGCCCCAGATGAGATTATTCTTTCCAATGAGATTATTCTTTCCAATGAGATGATCAACTCTATCAGTAGAGGGGATGGGATTGTGGAAGAGAAAGTGTAAATTATGAGTAAATTTAGTTATACACAAAATATGGTATTTGGCAACAGTATCTACAAAAACAAGCGAGTGGATTACTGAATGAAGATTCAAAATACTGAGTAGTTTCTGTAGCTTTCCAGATTTTAACTTAAAATTTAAACCAAGTTCCTAATCTGTGAAATTTTTATTAAAAATTGTTCTTTCTGCTTTAGGTTAGTCTGGTAAACAGGAAACTTCTCTAAGTGATTACTCTGCTCCCTATGAAACTGATGATTTTCCCCCGTTGATAGCCTTTGCTAACTTATTTCCCAGTTAAATGATACTTACTAGATACTTAATATCTTCTTACCAACAGCAGGAGGCAGATGTTAAGGTCAGTAATGCCTTTCTTAAATAAATAAACTACCCAAAACCACCAAACACAAAACTCTAAAAAGTACATATCCTTGATGGCAATTATTGGTGTGGAAAAAACCCCATAACTATTATGCAAATTTACTGATATGTACTATAATTTATCAGTAAATTAGCAATCAATATATCAACAATCTTTTCCTTAAACCAAATCAGAAGACATTAACAGATTGTTCTGTTTTTTTAAATAAAGTCCTGTGCGCAGGATTTTTTTAGACTAGAAACATTTTTTTTCCCCAAAGAATACTACTGAAAGTAAGTGTGGTCCTATTTGTTGCTACACTGGCTTGAACACTGCATCACTATGGGATTACTAGAAAAAAATCCTCATCTTTAAAATGTAAGCCTACTTTAAAATATGCATTTACTTAGTAATATGTGGTCAGCTGTATGATTAATGGAGACAGACTCTGGCACAGAGAGAGACGGAGAGAGAATGAAAAAGAGAAAATGAATTAAATTGCCAGCAATGTATGCACTTTCAGCATGTTGGTCTGCTGCTAAAACCAAGTCAAAAACCACAGTGCAAACCTGGCCTGCTATGAGACAAGAACTGAGCTTCATCAGACTTGGAATTACTCAAACCCAAGAATGGACAGCTGTTTAAAAAAAAACAATTTCAGTTTCCAAACTGCACCCCACTGAGACACACATTTTTGTGTTGGAGGAACAATGGAGTCTGGAGCATTCCACTTCCTAAAATCTGATGAATAACACAGAGGTGGATTCAGATGACATTCCTTGTTTTAATGAGACTCAGAGATTTAAGAAAGTTTTGACAGGCCCCAGGGTTGCTTTCATATGAAGTTTTCCACTTGTGCAGGAGCAGAATCTCACCAACTGTTATCTTGAGACTTGCTGAAACTGCTTAGTGAGTTATTCCAGGCAGGCCAGGATGAATGGAATTGCAGTGCAGCTGCCTTCACCCAGTCACAGCATTCTTATTTCAGGTTGCAGACATCTGCTTCAAGCAGACACAGCTGATTCAGAGAGGAAGGCAGCAATGCGGGAACGTTCAACAGGAGAGATGTTGGCAGGGTTTATTGTCTCTACATTCTTTCCTTAAAATACCAGATCAATTTACAGTGTCAAAGAAGACTGCTGAAGTAAATTTCTCCCAGATCATGAATATAAAAAATAAAGGATAGATTCCTTCCTAGGAACAAAGTCCATACCTTTAATTATTTTCTTTCCTAAAACCAAGTAAAAAGCCAGACACATTTTCATAAACTACAAAGGTAATACAGCAGGCAGGAGTCACTCTGATTACATTAGGTATAATTCCTTTGTAAAATCCATGAACACCTTCTTTCCTTTAAAGACAAAAAAAAAGGTTTTAATTAATGTCTTTTAATGGAAAAAAAATTAAACATAAAACAAAGCCTGGCCTTTTATTTCTCACACTCCCATTGAGAGATGTACTTCAGGTTAGAAATAACAATTTCAGACAGTGTTTAAAGTGCATCAAGTATTAACCCATTGTTTTTGCTTCTAAACATATAATAGCATTATGCAGATCAGTTATTTAGCCCAGGCTTTAAGTGTTTTTTGTGGGTATTGTCTAAGTAAGACAATTTACCATCTTTCTCCATGCTACAACAACTGACTAAACAACTAAGAAAAGTCACCATTCATTTTTTGAGATTTTAAGCACCCCTTCCAGAATTTTGATTCTACTGGCCAATAAATAAGAACCTAATTTCACCCAATTTCAATCAGTGTGTCATGCTAGGGCTGTTAAAAAGTTTTAGACACATTAAATCTCAGCTCTTCAGGTGCAGACCTCACAGGCATAGAACACCTGCAAGGAGGAGCAAACAGAGATCCCAAGAAATGCTTGGGTGTGGTTCACACAACCCTCCCTAAGTCCCATTTGTTTCATCATGAGCTCAGCAGTGGCTCCAGAATGGCTGTACTACACTTGAGCAGAACTAAAAAGCCTTCCTGCAGCCTGCAGCACTGAAGGGCTCAGCACTGACACAGCAGAGCTACTTTTGCTCTGAATTGCCTCCAGTTGAAATGGTTGCACAGCTCTGAACCAGGGGTGCTCCTGGAACAACAGAGCCTCTGGAACTTACTGAGCTGGCCCCTCTTCACAGCCAGGAGCCCATTCCCACCTCTGCAGCAATATGGCCCAACCCAGAAGCACTGCCCAAAGCCATGGATGCACACACAGAGGTGGCCACCCTTGGTAAACACACAGGTCTGTGTGAAAACTCTCCCCTGCACTGCGCAGCTCAGGCAAGAGCTCAGGGAAGGTTTGTGAGAAGATATGAATAAGTGTGAGGTCACAGGTCTCTAAAGGTCCCACAGGAAGCTGGGACCAGACAACAAGTGCAGTCAGGCCCCAGGGTAACCCAGGGACATCAGTATAATCAGCTCTGGCTAGCTCACTTCACCTTGCCAGGAATTTGGATTAGCCACAACTCCCAGCAGCACAATGCTCCTGTCCTGTGTGATAAGCCAAAGCAGTTCAAGTGAGAATTCATTTAGTGTCTCAAACCAGCCACGACAATGTTATTTTTTAGCATGTGAAATTTGCTGGAGAAGAGAGAAGGGAGACAGAATAAACAGAAAGCTGCAGGGGGCGTTGGCTCTCCCCAATCTCCTCCTCTCTCCTTAGCTTAGTGCTGTTGGTGGCATCTTGCACAACATGACTTTGTACAGCTAAAACTTAGTTTGCCCTGAACTGTTCTGGTTCTACAAGTCAGCACAGGAGCCAGTAAAGGTAGCTCTGATTCTGTAAAACTCAGTTTGCAACATGCAGGCTTTTAATTTTGCACACCTACCTCCAGGTCCTGTGGATCACATCAAACACCCCAGAGTAGGTGTTATGCTGGTCTTGAAGACGAGCCCGCACGACTTGATAGGGATATGTTGCTACCACAGCAAATATTTTGGATACAGCTGCCATCATGATGTATTCCACAGTGTTCTAAAAGCAAGAAAAATTGTCAGACTTGCCTTAGGTATGGTCTAAATTAGCCAGTTCCCAAAATCTTACTTGATTTTTAAATGTACAACCAAACAATACTCTAGATTTTTCCCTCCTATGATACAACACACTAAAAGAAATGTCAGTTTTTACTACATGCAGTGCTACAAGTAACTGACTGTAAAACATGTGCTGTGCCTTCTCATTCCCATTAAAACACTTCTTCCAATAGTAGCTACCTTTGCCCAACTTGCATCTGAACAGTTTTCCAGGGTTTAATACCATCCCCTCTGGTTCCACAACATAAGAAAAAACTTCTTCTAAAATTCTCAAAACACTTGCCAAAATAAGAAGTTGGTTTTCAAAACCAGTGAAAACCAGCTGCTTGTTCCTAAAAAGTGAGAAAGTCTTATTTCCTTCTATATATTCTGCACTTTAATTAATGTACCAATACTTTGCACATTTGGCTGCTGTAAACCTGACAAATAGAATCTACTTCTGTTTATTTACATGCCACAACACAATTTTATTCTCAAGCATCCTACCAGTTTTGTATCTGATACTCTGTTTCTATACTTGTTGTATCTCTCTTTCAAATCCTCATAGGCCATGAACTGAAGTGCTCCATGTGATGTTCCAAACAGACCAGGCACAAATCCCTAAGAAAAGGATAAAACAAGGTTAAAGGGTGATGCACAAAACCTAAACAACTTGACAGAGCACAGCTCCCACCCCTACATTTGTCCTCCCTTAATGTACAGACTGTGCCTGCACAGCAGTTGCAGTCTGACTCAGTGTCCTTAAGGGCAGGCATCACACCAACACTCAATAAATGCTGCTTTCCTGACACGCAGCCTAAAGTCACCTCCTGAGTCACTGAGATGAAACAAGTGGCCCAGGGACTCCACCTCACAGAGCACAAGCTGGTAACACAGATTGGGACTGCAAGACCACAAATCAAGCTCAGTGCACATTTCCAGAGACTGGCACTGAGGGGTCTGGTTCCACCTGAGACTGGTAAAGCAATGACAGATGCTGGCAACTCAGAGAAGAGCCACCAGGAGCAGAGGTACAAAACATTATTGTGATTGAGCCTGGGAAATAGATATGCATGTGTTTCCATGTGTGTCTCTACAAAAATGTGTGTCTATGAGATATATATATATTTCTAGACTAAAAATGTTTGTGCCTATATAGAATCATAGAATAATTTTGGTTGGAAAAGATCTTTAGGATTATCAAATCTAACCATAAACCTGACACTGCCATGTCCACTACCATAACATGTCCCTGTGGGAGAAGAGAGTGAGCTGCTACAGAAGTGTCTTTCTTACACGCACAAACATGTGAAAATACACACCAACCTTTAGGTTCAAAAAAGTTGAAATGAAGGGGGAAAACAGGTACTTTCTGAACTGTGTCCACAAGAAAGAGAAGACAGGAGGTCCCTCAGGACCAGGACTAGCTCCACTAAAATGCGTTGCCAGCTGCAGGGGTTCTGAAAAGCACTAATTCTTTTAAAAGAGTTGGTCACTTGCATTGAAAAACACAAATAAATGGAGGATTAATCATCTTGGCCAGAAAGGGACTCAAAAGCTTGCTGCAAACTGTTAGGGAACAATTATAACAGAGTAAAGTGTTTAAAATGTAGTTAAAAGGACTCAAAGAATCAAAGTTTATTTCCCATGATCCATTCAGGCAAAAAAAAGGAATTTAAAAATGTGTTCAGATGCCAAAGTCTGTGTTAGACTAAGAGTCAAGCCCAAAATCTTGAAGACTTAGTCTGACTTAATCAGAATATGATTAAAAGCCTGGAGAAGGCGAAAAGGAGAAGAGATCACTGAAGGAGTCCACTGAATTAGTGTTAACAAGACAAAATAATAAAACTCCTAAATTGCAGAAAAAACTCCAACAACTAAAACTACAGCAAGCACAAAAACTGCATGGATAATACACAAATTACCACTTCAGGGATCAGCTTTCCAAATGCTACATATAGATTTCTAAAGTTTTTCAGTCTTTCAGGAAATGATTTTTTAGAATTTCACCTTCTCACAGTAAGAAAAAATGGTCATGAACTCAACATCAGTAATCACAAACTAATGAAATGCATTAAAGGCTAGTGAAAGTCCCAGGAAAAAAACCTTCCTCAAATGAGAACAAGTGGAATGAAACCACTTATCTGTATTTTGTCAGCTGTAAGCACAAAGTGAAGTTGAAGCTAAAGGGCCCCAACAGAGGGAAAAGGACAACTTTGGTTTTCAGAAATCCTGGATCAGAGAAGAAAATAAAAGCAATATAAAAACAGAAGAAGAAAAAAAACTATACAAAAATGTCAAAGAAAAAATTATCTGGGTCAGCAAAACCAGTATGAAACTAATGGACAGTGATAGCAGGGAAAATCATCACAAGCATTTCTTGGTGATTAATCAGTAAAACAACTAAAAGACAGTGGAAGCAATTGTTGTCCACTTGGAAAGAATTAGAACAATGTATTTATATCATAGAAAAATGAGGTAATACTTTCCCTGTCAACAAAAGAAGAATGTTAAACAACCTTTAAGAGAGCTAAACTCTTAAACTTAAGCCAGAAGATTTGGATAACTTGCACCCTTGAGTCTTAAAGCATCTACTGGTTGTACTTCATACACAAATACCAGCAGGCTTAAAGTCTTGTGCTGAGCTTCCAAAGACTGAGGGACTTTTAATGTCGGGCCAATATTAAAAAATGCAAGAAGGGAGTGAGGCAACTGTCAGCCAATGTGCCTCAGTAGAATAGGAGCTGACCCATACCTTTATTGATCATAGAAAATCACGCATTCTTGCGGAAAAATGTTTCAAAGCAAAACTGATTTCTTCACAGCACTGAAATATCTTGGCTGGGGAAGTTTTTGAAACATATTCTATTTTCTTATTCTTAGATACATAATATGACTGTAAAGAGAAATTTTATAATAACTTCACGTACTTCTTGTTATTTTCTACTTTAATATTTGAAATATATATTTAGAAGATTTTTCCAATGAAAACATGACAAGATGAATGGTTCCTCAAAGAAGTCTTACTTGAATTCTCTTTCAACGGATTAGAACAATAGATGGAATTAAATATAGTTCTATATTTATATTCTATAATTAGAAATTTAAATGCATATAATTCTGAGTGGCAGACAGTGGGAATAAAGAAATATTTTAAAGTTGGTGTAAAGTGTTTTAAGTGCTGAAAATCCAGACAAGAAGAAAATGTCTTGTTGGTTAGTGTTTCAAAGGTTACCCATCACAATAAAAAGAAACACAGGCAAATGTACACACTGGAAAACCTGTGCTTCTTAGTAAAGAGGGGAACAAGGTTCATTTGGTGATGTGGTACTCACATTACTGCCTCAAGTGTTTGACAGCACTCAAGCCAGAACAGCCTCTGCTGTCTGTTTCAAAAGAATGCAGCAAATACCTCTTGTAATCTCTCCAGTGCTGCCTTCATTCGGGCTCTCAGTGTGTCAGAGACCTGCAGCATCTGAGTGCCCTGCTCTGACAACTTGTGCAGACAAGACACTGAAGTTGCCATTACCACTCTGATTCCCTCATGGTGAAAAATGTTACCATCTTTTATGTGAAAGCCACTTACGCTTATGTCACTGCGTAGAACCTGCAACTTAAATTAAAATCAAGATGGCCAAATCTCACTGGATTTTGCTATATACAAGCACAAAGATATAGAAAGCTTACAAGCTTCATATTTACAAGAAGAAAAATAACAGAAGCAAAGCATGCAAAATAAAGAGAGCTAAGTGCCTTAGCCACTGAGTACTTTATCCTCAGAGCATAGAATCTTGCCTACCAAAAGTGACATGCCAACACAGAAGTGCCCAAATATATTTCACTTGGTAATGAGCACACACTACTGTTATGACTTTTGTTGTCAGCATGCTACATTCTTATTCTCAGTCTTGATGAACCTGGATTTTACTTTAATCTCCTGAAATTTTATACATTTCCTGTGTATTTTACTCTTGTTTATTAAGCATTGCTCTATTTCCAACTGCTGCTTCTTTATCATCAATAAAAGAGAATAAAAAAAATGCACATACAGAAATACAGAGGCCATGAAGGATGCTAGTTGCATTCCTGACTGATGTCTTAGTAGCCAGTCACTCTAGAATATACATCTAAAAGTTTCTCAACAGCTCAGAGATATTTTAGGTTTTCCTAAGAGCACCAATCCTACAATCTTACAACTATTTTATCATGTTTGGGCACTCCTACCTTATGCTTGAAAAGAACAACACAGCACTCATAAAATGGAGATGGTTGCATTCATTAATGGCAAGGCAATTTTTAGAGCTCAAATCTCCAGCAGATCCATGGGTGTTCAAAGTACATAACCCCAAGCTGTTTTTTAATTCAGCCTGGTGTGCAGCAGAGCAGCTCTGTCATCAGGGGGCCAAAAGAGAAAGCCCAGTGGATGGAGTGTGTGGAAGATCACTGACTGGATGATTACTGGGATAATGAGCAAAGGAGACTCCTCCTGCCTTTTCAGAACCAGGCCAAGTTCAAGAGGAACAACTTACTGAGAAAGCCAGATTCAGACAAACTGTTTGATGAACAATCAATACCCAGCAGAGCTAATAAAGACAGCTTTGATCCCTGCTAGAAAGATTGATGTAGCCTGACATAACCCGTTTGTACCTCAAAGGACTGAAAGGATTTGCTCAGATCAGTAACAGCATCTGTGCAGTAAAGAGCAATACTGAATTGCTTGGTCAGAAATTCCATTCTTTATTGTCTAAGGAGACAAATCTCAAACAGAAACTCTTTCCAGATTTTTTTCCAATACTATCTGAGACAGTTACTCTGTTTGAGATCCCTTCCTTTACCATAAGGTGGTACTACCTGATATCCCCTTATCTGCTACAAGGAACGCTATCTGAAATGAAGATGATGAGGAAAAAGAAGACAATTGCGTGTACTACAACTCCTGACTCAGGGCAATTAACAAAGCTTTAGCTGTACAATTTCAAATAGAGCAAGAAAAATAAAAGCTCCCCCAAACACTGAAATGGGGGAAGCTAAAGCATGTACAAGTCCAAGAGCCACCTGAAGAAGTGCCTTTTTCCCCAGTACAGACAAGGTTGAGACAGTCCTGATGTCAAATGGAAGCTGCACAGTGTGCATACTTATGTAGGTCATTCAGGACCTATTTAGGTCACCTTCTTTGCAGATTTAAGCAAGTAATTTGCTGTTTCAAAGGAAGTAGCTGCTTTAGTCCCACATTTGCAGATTAACACTACAAAGAAGTGTCTAGTGCCAAAGGCGACACATGCTACTGGCAGGAATAATCTGAAAAGAAGGGTGGAAGGACATCTTAAAACCTAACAGATCCAAGAAATCAGAACTTATCTACAAGGAACAGAGCAGACATCCAGGCAGGCAAACCTGACAATTTCAATTTAGGAATAAGTAAGGTGCCCCATTTCTGGTGTTAGAATTTGGCAATCATTGCCATGAAGCATGCAAGAATAAGAAGGATCACATTTTTCACTGAAAATAAAATAAGCTAATGTTCAGTAGTCAGGATAATTTCTAAGAGAAAGTGGTCTTGTTCCCTACTCCTGGCAGTGTTCAAGGCCAGGCTGGATGGGCTCTGAGCAGCCTGGGCTAGTGGAAGGTACACCTGCCCATCACAGGGGTGTTGGAACAAGAATATCTTTAAGATCCCTTCCAACCCAAGCCATTCTATGATTCTATGATTCTGCAGCATTACTTGCAGGAGAAGAGCCAGCCTGAACTAAAATAGGTTTCTTCACAACTTTCAGGCACTGATGAATGCATCTTGATGTCATGACCTGAAGAGAGGAGGAGGCAAAAAGTCCAAATCTTGTTGCCATCTGTTTCCCTAAATTAAAGGAACAAAAACCTCACACATATGCAGGCCCTATTGAGAAGACTGCAAATTTAATGTATCTAGAGCTGACAGATTACAGACATCAATAACCAGAGGGCAAATAAGCAGTTGTGAAACTATCCATTGTGGAAGAAAAAATTAGCAAGTACTTTAGTCATGTTATCTTCTAGAAGAGGTTAGAAATACAGAGATAAGGGAAAAAATGCAAGGAAGCACTGCCAGCAACATAGGTTACATTGTTGCTGACCTGCTTATCCAAATTCTAATTATAGGAAGATTCAAAAAAAATTACAAAGCAGTTTATCACCAGTATAACGGCTTTTCTTCTGACTAAGCCTTTTTGCTGCAGTTCTTCAGTAGGAAAGACTCACAGAATGAAAGTGAGCTGTTACAATTTTTTTTTTGTAGACAAATATTTAGAAGTCTCACCATGCTACTGGGTGGTGCCAGGCAATCATGGAATTTTTCTGCAAAGTGATTACCTTATATAAGCCACGGATGCCCTCTGTCTTGTATATCTTTATGAGAGCATCAAACATTCCTCGGTACTGCCGCTTGGATGGATCCACGCCAGCGTTATATTGTAGCACAAGTCGAGTCTTGGTTACCCAGATTGGGTTTGTAATGCACAGGGTCATGGCTCCTGGGAACACACAGAAGTTACTCTCATTGTTATGCCAACTCCACAGATTGTCCCAGTCTGTTCAGTCCAATATAACACAGGCTTCTACAATGACAAAACTACTTCTCCTACCAGAGTACTCATACTGTTCAAAACAGGGGAAGTTTATGCCCTCCATTGCTCCCTTTCTCCCCCTTCAAAGCTCACAGTCAAGTCCAATTCACTCCTGCTGTGGTACTCTTGCAGGGCACAAATATTTTTGCATATTCCTAGTACAGTCCCTTTTTTGCTTCACCTTTCCACAGTTAGTAGTATAATCTGAAGTAGACAGTAAATGCAGTTTCTTAATGTACCACAGATTATCTGAATTATTATTCAGTATACAATAATTCAAAACTTAATGGACACCTCAGTGATGTGAGATTTGCTTAATAATTTTGACAGGTTAATAGCAAGAACCTCTTATAGCTTTATAGGTTATTAAAAATACCATTGTGACAGAATCCATTATGACATTTCATTCAAACAATATGCCTTATTATTTCAACGTTAAATGAATGCTTCAAAATCCTAATGAAGTTTTCCAAATTGCCTGTACAGCATGTAGTGACAGGACAAGGGGGCATGATTCAAACTGAAAGAGAGTAGGTTTAGATTAGATGTGAGGCAAAGATTCTTTACTGTGACAGTGGTGAGGCACTGCAATAGGTTGCCCAGAGATGCTGTGGATGCTCCACCTCTGGAAGTGCTCAAGACCAGGCTGGGTGGGGCTTTGAGCAACCTGGTCTAGTGGGAGGTGTCCCAGCCAAAGACAGGGGGTTGGAACTAGATTATTTTTAAGGTCCATTCCAACCCAAACCATTCCATGATTCAACAGGCCACCTCCTTTCCAGGTCCAGGTGTTAAATATTTAACAAGTTAACAATCTGATAGCAGCAGATTTCCATAGTTACATTTTGGGACCCAATACAGTACTAAATATGTAAAGTGCCTACATAGAATGAAAACTAGGACAAAAGACATTTTGTCAACTGCTAATTCTGCACAAAACTGGAGGACCACAGTGACCCACCTATTTGTGCTAGACACCTTTGTTTTATTTACAGACAACAAACTATTGCATCTGGGCTGGAACACTTACCCTTGCCATCTGTAAGAAAAAGCTGCACTGACACAGAAAGGCAAGTAGCAGCATATGGAACAGCTACAAGTGAACATTAATTTTTGCATTTAACCTCACCAGCCTCCGCAGCTGACACTAGGTGTTCGCTCGCACTGAGACTTTCCATCTTCCCTTCCTTCTTGTAAGCTTTGATGGCATTGTAACTGGAAAATGTACAACATAGTTTAGTGAAGGTGAACACAGACCCACATCACAAAAAACCCAATCCAGAATGACATACCTGACTTAAGATCATGGTGGTACACAGCCTTTGAAGAAAAGGCATCCAAACTACTGTTATTTAATTGATTCATTGTCCCTGAGCAGTCAGCTCTTTAAAGTGAACTATGGTAATATATATTTAAATTGTAAAATTAAACTGTCAGTATCAATGGGACTGCATCTTGAAAATTATCAGATATCCAGAATTAACTTTTAAAAGAATTTTAGTGGGACCCACAGTGCTAGGTATTGACCCTCTAGCTCAGAAATACACTGAGCATTCTTCTCTTGATCCAGTTTGCAATCTTTGTGAATTAAGGAATTGTCAACAGAAGATGAAGTGTCAATAGCAATATACAGCAAAACTTAAGGACTCAAGTACAACAATAATAGAGTCTAGACAAGTGAGCTTTGCATAGGCATGCCAGCTAACTAGTCCCTAAAATGTTTGAATTAATAGGGATAAGTACTAACAGAGTTAATAAAGTAGAATATTAAAAAATGGGCTTTAAAAGCAAAGCCCATGAACTGACAAAAACAATGAAAAAACTGTCACTAAAATGATTAAAAACAATCAAACATTTAGTTTTAGTAGAAAACTTCACACTCTTTATTCTCAAGAAATCAATTTAGATTCTTGTTTTTCATGGGGTTTTAAGAACAGTGTATTGGCACTTTTAGAGAATTCTTTCTGAATAGTATCACCACCTCTCAAATTCTTAGTACTTTCACAGCAGCAAGGGAATGCACTGTACCTGACAAAGGAACAACTCTCTGACTCAAATTGCTGAAATTCTAAAACAGCAAACCATAATAAACGTTAACAAACCTGGACTAGCTAAGAGAATGACAAGTTTGTAAGTCCCTTAGCACATTTTTATACCTCACAAAGAAGATGCAATGTATATCTGAACACTGCATTGTGCAGGCAGTGACACATTTTACAGTTGTACTTACAAGAAGAAGTAAAGTCCCCAGGAGGCTCCTGCTCCCACCATGTTTGGAGTCACCCCTTGGTACAAGCCTCGAAGCCCCTCATGCTTCCAGACTGTGCTCATACAGTGAAGAATTCCATTGTACTTTGGCCTCAGCTCCAATCCATCACTTACTACAAAAGAGAGAAATGGAAAACATTTTGGGAAGCATAAAGTTCAACTGCCTCCAAGCCAACCCAAGAGTCCACAGCCTCCAAAGCAATAAATGAACATGAAACATAATTGATCAACTGTATTACAGAATCACAGAAATTCTAGGTTGGAAGAGACCTTTAAGATCATCGAGTCCAACCCATGTTCTAACACCTCAACTAGATCATGGCACCAAGTGCCACATCCAGTCTTTTTTTAAACTCTTCGAGGGATGGTGAGTCTACCACCTCCCTGGGTAGATGATTCCAGTATTTGACCACTCTTTCTGTAAAATACTTCCTCCTTAATTCTAGCCTGTATCTCCCTTGGCGCAGCTTGAGACTGTGTCCTCTTGTTCTGTCTGTTGTTGCCCGGAGAAAGAGACCGACCCCCAACTCACCACAGCCACCCTTCAGGGAGTTGAAGAGAGTGATAAGGTCACCCCTGAGTCTCCTTTTCTCCAGGCTGAACAACCCCAGCTCCCTCAGTCGTTCTTCATATGGCTTGTGTTCCAAGCCCCTCACCAGCCTCGTTGCTCTCCTTTGGACACGCTCAAGCATCTCAATGTCCCTCCTAAAGTGAGTGGCCCAGAACTGGACGCAATACTCCAGGTGAGGCCTCACCAGTGCTGAGTACAGGGGAAGAATGACCTCCCTGCTCCTGCTGGCCACACCGTTCTTGATACTGGCCAGAATGCCATTGGCCCTCTTGGCCACCTGGGCACACTGCTGGTTCATGTTCATCCGACTGTCAACCAGCACCCCCAGGTCCCTTTCAACCTGAGCACTGTCCAGCCACACCGTTCCTAGCTTATATCGTTGCAGGGGGTTATTGTGGCCAAAGTGCAGGACTCGGCACTTGGACTTATTAAACTTCATCCCATTAGATTCTGCCCATCCATCCAACCGTTCCAAGTCCCTCTGCAAAGTCCTCTGTCCCTCTAACAGATCAACACACGTTCCCAGCTTAGTGTCATCTGCAAATTTGCTAATAAAGGACTCTAAATCCTCATCCATGTCATCAATAAAAATATTGAACAGAACTGGCCCCAGCACAGACCCCTGAGGGACACCACTGGTGACTGGTCGCCAGCTGGATGCAGCACCATTCACCACCACTCTCTGGGCCCGGCCATGCAGCCAGTTCTGAACCCAGCAAAGAGTGCTCCTGTCCAAGCCACGGGCTGCCAGCTTGTCTAGGAGAATGCTGTGGGAGACAGTGTCAAAGGCCTTGCTGAAATCCAAGTAAACAACATCTACAGCCTTCCCTGCATCCACTAGGCGGGTTACCTGGTCATAAAAGGTGACCAGGTTGGTCAAACATGACCTACCCCTCCTAAATCCATGCTGGCTGGGTCTGATACCCTGGCCATCTTGTAAATTTTGTGTGATGGCGCTTAATATAAACTGTTCCATTATTTTGCCAGGTACTGAGGTCAGGCTGATTGGTCTATAATTACCAGGATCTTCCTTTGCACCTTTTTTGTGAATGGGTATCACATTGGCCAGCTTCCAGTCATCCGGAACCTCACCAGTGAGCCATGACTGCTGGTAAATGATGGAGAGTGGCTTTGCAAGCTCATTTGCCAGCTCTCTCATTACCCTGGGGTGGATCCCGTCTGGTCCCATAGATTTATGAATATCCAAGCATTTCAGTAGTTCTATGACTGCCTCCTCTTGGATAATGGGGGGACCATTCTGCTTCCTGTCACCATCAACCAGCCCAGGCGGGCAGGTGTCTTGAGGGCAAGTCATCTTCCCACTAAAAACTGAGGCAAAATAGGCATTAAGCACTTCTGCCTTTTCCTCATCTTCAGATACTAAGTTCCCTCCTTTGTCCAATAAAGAACAAAGGCTGGTCTTACCTTTCCTTCTACCATTAATGTATTTGTAAAAACATTTTTTATTATCCTTTACAGAAGTTGCCATTCTAAGTTCAAACTGAGCTTTGGCCTCCCTAATTTTTTTTTCTGCATGCTCTAGCAGCCTTCTTGAATACTTCCTTAGAGACCTGACCCTTCTTCCAACGCTGATACATCCTCTTTTTATTCTTAAGTTCCTCCAAAATCTCCTTGCCCAGCCAGGCTGGACGTTTGCCCCGTTGACTGATCTTTCGGCACACAGGGATGGTCTATTCCTGTGCCCTCAAGATCTCTGTTTTGAGGTATGCCCACCCTTCCTGAACTCCTTTGTTTTTAAGGACTGCTTCCCAAGGGACGCTCTGAATAAGTCTCCTGAACAGGCCAAAGTCTGCCCTCCGGAAGTCCAATGCAAGAGTTTTACTGGTGCTCTTCCTGACTTCACCAAATATTGAGAACTCTATTATTTCGTGATCACTCTGCCCCAAGTGACCTCCAACCACCACATCTCCCACCAGCCCATCTCTGTTTGCAAACAGCAGATCTAACATAGTCCTTCCCCTGGTGGGTTCACCCACCAGCTGCAACAAAAAGTTGTCCTCCATACATTCTAAGAATTTCCTGGACTGCCTCTTTATTGCCGTATTAAGTTCCCAGCAGATGTCTGGTAGGTTGAAGTCACCCAGAAGAACAAGGGCTGACGATCTTGAAACATTACCTAGCTGCTTATAGAATAAGTCATCTACCTCTTCTTCCTGGTCAGGTGGACGATAACAGACTCCCAGTAGGGTGTCAGCCTTGTTGGCCTTCCCCTTTATTCTTACCCATACACATTCAACTCCATCTTCCTTAGTTTCAATTTCGATGGCATCAAAAGTTTGCTTAATATAAAGGGCCACCCCTCCACCTCTTCTTCCTTTCCTGTCTCTCCTGAAGAGCTTGTATCCATCCAGAGCAGTACTCCAGTTATGTGAGTTGTCCCACCATGTTTCCGTGATGGCAACTACATCACAGCTCTGCAGTTGCACCATGGCCTCTGGCCTCCAGCTCTTCTTGTTTGTTACCCATGCTGCGTGCATTGGTATACATGCACCTCATCTGGGCTACTGACTTCACCCCTAACTCAGCCTTGCAATTCTTGGGCCTGTTTCCAGATAGCTCAGCTGCTTCCCCTTCCCCCTTCAAACATAGTTTAAAGCTCTCTCAATGAGGTCTGCCAGTTCATGAGCTAAAAAACTTTTGCCCTTAACAGAGAGGTGTACCCCATCTGGTTCCAGCAGAGAAGATGCTGTAAGTTTCCCCATGATCAAAGAATCCAAAATTTTGCCGATGACACCAATCCTTAAGCCACTTGTTGATGATGCGGATTCTTCTGTTTCTTTCATCATTTTCCTCCGCGACCAAAGGGACTGAGCAGAACACTACCTGTGCTCCTGCCCTATCAACTACCTGACCCAGTACCCTGAAGTCCTTTCTAATTGCCTTGACACTCCTCTTCTCAAGCTCATCACTGCCAGCCTGGAGTATCAGCAGTGGGTAATAATCAGAGGGCTGAATCAGCCCAGGAAGTCCCTCAGTGATATTTTGTACCCGGGCCCAAGGGAGGCGACAGACCTCCCTGTGGGATGGGTCTGGTCGACATATGGGGCCCTCAGTTCCCTTCAGGAGGGAATCACCTACTACGATTACCCCTCTTTTCTTCTTGGTGTTAGAGGTAATGATCCCTCTTGCAGATGAATCATAATTGGGGGGTTCACTGGGCAGGCAATTCTCTCCTAAATCATCTAGTTGGGTCTCTCTGTCCAGGATCTCATACCTATTCTGAAGTGGTACTTGGCTGGATGATGGGGAGGGGGAGGACTTTTTGCTATTACCTCCCCGAATGGGGACCCGTTTCCACTCCTCCTCATATACCAGGTGCCCTTCTGTTACCTGAGAGCGGGAGGCATATAAGTCCTCAGACTCTTGGTCAGAAGCCTCCCTTAAAGATGGTAGGGCTGAACTCCACCAGTCTATTTCCCTTTCACTTTCCCTGATACTCCTTAACCTTTCGACTTCCTCCCTAAGCTCAGCCACCAGTGAAAGGAGGTCATTCACTTGTTCACAGCGCAGGCAGGACTCCTCCACAACACTCCCTGAAGCCACTGATAACCTCAAACACTCTGGGCATGGATGGGTCTGTACAGACACATCCTTTTTGGAGGGCCCGACTTGGTCACTTATACCAGCCACAGCTTTTGACAGCATAGAAACCATTACTGACAAACACCTCAAAATTAACCAGGCAGCAGAAAGACCTCAAACAATACAGAGCACTCCTTACTAGCAAGAAAGCTGGCAACCCTGCCTGCGCAAACTGCCTTGTATACTCCCCAGAGACTCACCACACCCCTGTTTGCCCGCTCCTGTCCGCTGCGCTCCCCAGACACCTCTTATAATCAGCCACTAAGCAGCAACTGAGGAAACTCCACCCTCTGCTCCTCTCTGACTCACAATTACATGAGTGTTATTTCACAAGTATAAAAGAGCTGAGGTTTACAGCTTTATAAGCTTAGAGCTGAAGAACTTAGGAAAAAAAGGGGGGGAAAAGAAATAAAAACCAGAGATAACTACTTAGCTCAGTAAGAGGAGAGTTCCTATTAATCTGGCGAGCCTAAGTAAATGCACTTTTGTACATTTTTGATGAGCAGCAGATCTGAAGTTTTCTGTGTCTTTTTTTAGCACTCCAGCAATTGTGCATCATATTTCAAGTGATATGGATGGCATCCTTGACATGTTTCTCTAAGTTGTTTAGACAAGTCCTAAGTAACAACCCTTAAATTCAAATTTTCTCCTTAAAATGTTCTATAAAACAATGGGTCACATCTTACTGATTGCCAAGTCAGTTTTTACCAGAATACACAAAGGCTTCTTCTCCCACCTAATAACCTAACAGCTGGTTGTCCAAATGTTCAGAAAATACCACTTCAAAAACACAGAAAACAACAAGTTTTTGTCTGACAGATCATGTAGAACATGGACATCCACAAAGCTTGGAGTGGTGACTACTATTCCTCCTACCATAACAACAAAGGAGTAAGTTGATTACTGATGAGGTATGTGATGCAGTCCATGGTGAGATGACAAGAGGTAACAGACACAAGCTGAAATACAGGGAATTTTGACCAGAACTTTTTATCCAGCAGAATGGCCAAATACTTGAAAAAGTTGCCTGAAGAGCATCTTTGGAGCTACTCAAAACTCCAGTGCACAAAACTGAACAAACTGATCTAAGCAGAGCTTATCTGAGTAGGGGGTGAACTCCTCAGCTCTCTTCTGACCTAAATTACTCTGTGATGCCAACACAGCAGCAGCTTTCATTCTTACTACAGACATATGGCTAGACTGCAACTGTACTGAAAACTGATCTCAAAGTTTTACAAGAAGTGTAGTTTTTGTGTCCCCACCAAAATTAATCCTGGTAAACAGGCATCTTCTGTTCAGTGCCACATTATTACTAATTCCTTTTGAACTCTTTGTCCCATAGACATTGTGACAGACTTCAGCATTAAAGACAAAATGCTTTTGCTGAGCACAGTGTGACAACACCTCAACACCTTGACAACCACTCAAAGCTAGAACACAAACACCTCTTTTCTCCTTCCTAAGTGCTGCTAGACCTTTCCCAAAGACATTTGTGAAATTTTTACCATGCAGACACTAGGTCAAGTTTATAAACATATGAAACAAGATTGCAAATCAGAGACATGAATGCAAATCTTTCTGTCAATGATGCTGCCAAGAATCTTGACAACATTCATTTCTGATATCAGCTCCTGCTCCCTCATTGAAGACAAAACACAGGAATTATTATTTTCAACCCAAAGATGCATGTGAAAGTACCTGACCTCCAAAAGCCATCTAATCCAAACCTGTATTTAAACCAGATCTAATGAGACCTGGTTACTTAGGGACACGACCAGTTGACTCCTGAATGCTTCCATGGCTGAAGAGATTACAGCCTGTCTGGGCAACCTTTTCCAGTGTTTGACCATTCTTACAGTAAAATAACTGGAATGATCCATGCTTGTGCCTGTTCCTTTTCGGCTCCTTCTAACTATCTCCAAGAATCTGGCTTTACCTTCTCTGTGTCTTCCAAGAACACTGTCGTAGATTGCAATTTTAGCTCCCCTCAGCCCTTCCTTTCTGAGGCCAAAGGGATCCTGTTCTGTGTCATGTGCTCCAGCCCCTTCACTGCAGTCACACCAGTGTGTCACTGTCTTCCTTCCTTGTCCTGGAGAGCCCCAAAATAAACACAGTAATTCTGACACAGTCTTACAAATGGAAAACAGAGAGAAGAGAGCCCTTCTGCCGGCTGTGCTTCTCATGATGCAGCCCAGGATGTGCCCAACTAGGACATGCAACGTTTTGAATTTTGAAAAATGTCTCTGTGATTGTTTGGTTTCGGGATCTTAAAACATCCATGTATCTATTTAAGAAAACAATCCAAAGATACGGTAAAATGTTTCTACCTCTCTGAAAGAAAATATGATAAATGGTTGACAAGTTTCTCAAATCAGCAGAAAAGTCAAGCGAAGTTGCCATGTTTCCCTGTGGAGAAACAAACCAGTTACAGAGTTTTCTGCAAAACAATACCACTATTGTTAACAGCCAAGGTTATTGCAGAACCACCGCTAGCTTTGAGTGTTGAAAATGTTTGGCATAGAGGCGAACTTTGAACGTGGGCTCGGGCAGCCCGCCGGCTCAAGCGGGCAGCGCTCGGGTGCCTCAGGCAGAGGCGGCCACGGGAGGGGGAGAGGCCGGAGCTCCCCGACGTGCCCGCAGACAGCTCGGGGCACCGCACAGGCGGCAGCCCCTACACGGGACAGGGAGCACCTCGGGATAGCGGGGGAGAGGACGGGACACCCTCTCGGCTCACGGCCGGTTTATTCCAAGCCGTGGGGCTGCCCCCGGCACCGGGGCGCTGCAGCCGCGCACGGGGCGGGCGGAGCAGCGCGGGCTGTGGGCGGGAAGCCCGGCAGGTCCCGGGCCGGGCTCGGCGAGCTCGGGCACGCCGGTGCGCCCCTAGCGCGGGACGGCGGCCGCTCCGGCCTTACCTGCGAAGCGGATCTTGACGAGGTCCAGCGGGTGCAGCGCCAGGGTGGACAGGACGCCGCCGCTCATTCCCGCCGCCAGGTTCTCCAGCCGCACGTGCCGCAGCACGGAGCGCAGCGCCGGCTCGCGTGACAGCGGCGGCTCGCGCGCCGCGCACGCGGGGCCCGCGGCACCCATCGCCGGCCGCGCGCGCGCAGGGGCGGGGGCGGGGCCGGGACTGCGGCGGGGCTCGCGGCCTCGCGCGAGAACGGCCCGGGTGGCGCATCCGGTCACGTGCGCAGCGGTGCCGGCGCGGCGCGATGCGGGTGAAGGTGCTGAGCCGCAACCCCGATGACTACGTGAGGGAGACCAAGCTGGACCTGCAGCGCGGTGAGTGCGGCTCCGGCTCCGGCCTTCGGCACGGCACGGCATGGCACGGCCCGCCCTGCCCCGCCCGGAAGGGATGAGGCCGGCGGCCCAGGAAGGCGTTCGTCCGCGCTCCGCTCCGGTCCCGTCCCCTCCGCCGCTGCCCGCTGGCAGCGAGAGTCGGAGAGCTCGGGCAGGGGCTTTGCGCTTCCCTCCTTGCGGGCGCCGGGAGCTCTGCCCGCGGGTGCCGCTCCCAGGCGGGGATTCCCGTGCGGGGCCTCTGCGGAGCTGAACTTGCTTTGCCGTGCCGCGGCCCGGGGCGGCGGCTGCCGGGAGCTTCCATCGGCGCGGCAGAGCCTGGGGCTTCCAGAACCTGGTCAGAGCAGGAGTGCGAGGCTGGGGGTTTAATCGCTGATTTGGTACCCCGAGATTGTTCTTGGTATTTCCTAGGTTACCCTTTGCAGTTTTTTGCACTTAATGCTGTTTCATTTCTGGTGCGTCGAGGTCCGCTTCTTGCACATTCATTATTAAAACTGCCAAAAATTGTGTTGATTTTACACACAGAATAATAGAGTTTCGTAGGTTGGAAGGTTGGGCTAGATAAGTCCCTGTGGTGAACAGTCCCACACCCTGCCCTGTGGTGAACAGGGACATCTTCAGCTAGATCAGGCTGCTGAGAACCTTGATGGGCCATGTGCCATTTCATTGTAAAAAACTTCTTACTACTATCTAGTCTAAATTTATCCTCTTTAAATATATAACTGTTACTCATTGTCATATCATAACAGGCCATCTAAGAAGTCTGTCGCCATCTTTCTCACAGCCCCCTTTGAGTACTGAGAGGCCACAGTGTGGTCTGCCCTGAGCTGTCTCTTCTCCAGGCTGAACAACCCCAGGTCTTCCAGTCCTTCCTCGTGGGAGAGGTAGTCCATCTGCTCATCTCTCCTCAGGACCTGCTCCAGCATGGGTTTCTAATGTGTGTTCTTTCTGTTACAGTTCCAAGGAACTATGACCCTGCATTGCATCCATTTGAGGTTGCACGAGAGTACACAAGAGCTCTGAATGCCACAAAGCTAGAACGTGTGTTTGCAAAACCCTTTCTTAGTTCACTTGATGGCCACAGAGATGGAGTTAATTGCATGGCCAAACATCCAAAAAGTTTGTCTACTGTGCTGTCTGGAGCCTGTGATGGAGAGGTAAGCTTGCAAACCACAACAAACACACGTCTTTTTTCTCTTTTGTGTTTTATTGGCTTGTTTGGTTGGTTTTGCCACACCTTACTTTTCTGCCTCTCTTCAGCATGTTACCTCTATCCTCACGCAGTTTTGCTGCTCTGTAATTCTGCCACTGTACAGAGGAGACAAACTTGGGAGACAGATTGTAGTGAAAGGTTCATGGGTCGAGATAAGGACAGGGAGAGATCACCCACCTATTACCACCAGGGACAAAACAGACTGAACTTGGGGTTAATAATTGAATTTATTATTAACAAACTCAGAACAGAATAATGAGAAGTAAAATAAGACCTTAAAATTACCTTCCCCCCACCCCTCCCTCCTTCCTTCCCAGGCTCTCCCTTCTCCTCCCCATCAGTACAAGGAAATGGGAGAAGGGGGTTGCAGTCAGTTCAATACAAGTTGTTCCTGCCTCTGCTCAGGTAGAGGAGGTGCTCTGCTGCTCCACCATGGGTCCCTCCCATGGGAGACAGTTCTCCATGTCCTTCTGCAGTGTGAATCTGTTGGGGAGGATGAAACAAGAAAGCCTTATAAATATGACTGCCTGGCAAAAGATTTTGAGAATATAGAAACTATAAGCGAGATTGAAATGAAAGCAACCTTTGAGATCCCTTAATTGCTGAACAAAACAATGATGTGACCAGCTGAATGTAATCACCCCTGGAGGAAACAATTCCCTCTGCAAGCAGGCAGGCCTAAGAGTCAGAGCAGACCCTGCAGCTTGGCAGATAGGGCCCAAAGAGTAAGATTTAGGGTTTAAAATGTAAACATAGTATGGTAATGTAGTGATTCTTATAGGTTGTATGGAAATGTTATAGGATATGCATGCTGTAGTAGATTGGTTAATGAGAATCTGAATATTAAACACAGAAGACGATTTATTGTATTGTAACGGGAACTTCGGTCTCTTTTTGCTCTCTTATCTCTCTTTTCTCTCTTACCTGTTTTCACTCTATCTCTTTTTGTGCTCTTCTTCGCGCCCTTTTTTCTCTTTGTCTCTTTGTCTTCTCCTCTGCAATTCTTCACCCCTTCCTTTCTACATGCTCTCTGCTCTTAAACCTTTGCCTTTAACTCTCTTACACTTTAAGCCTCTCTTCTCTCGGGCCTGCTCCGAGCTGTGGCTGGCAGCTTGCAGCAGGGCCCTGCACCCAGGCCCTTTGCAATAAACTGCAAGTTATACGACTTGGCTTCAAAGAGATCTCTCCGTCCGTCCCTACCGTGCGACCCCCCAGCAGCTCCTTCGTGAGTCCTTTCCACAGGCTGCAGCTTTTCATGAGTAGCTGCTGTGTGGGTGACTGTTCCACATTGTGTAGTCCTTCAAGAGGAGGCTGCTCTGGGGTGGGTCCCCACAGGGTCACAAGTCCTGGGAAACCTGCTCCAGTGTGGGCTCCTCTGTCCATGGGTCCCGAGGTCCAGCTAGGGCTTGCCGTGGATCACAGCCTGCTTTGGGTGCATCTGGCCTCGGTCTTCTCCACAGGTGCAGGTGGATCTCTGCACTCCCATTAACCTCCTCCATGGGCACCAGGGGCACTGCTGCCTCACCATGGTCTTCACAGCAGGCTCAGAGGAACCTCATTCTTCCTCCTCCTTCTCCCCTCACCTTGGTGTCTGCAGTTATTCCTCTAATGTATTCTTGCTCCTCTCTTCTCTGAGTGCAGTTACTTTTATTCCTTTTTAAATGTGTTACCGCAGAGTTGTTGCCACCATTTCTTATTAGCTTGGCCTTGGCCAGGGGTGGGTCTGTGTGGGAGCTGGCTGGCATTGGCTCTGCTGGACATGGAGGAAGATTCCAGCAGCTTCTCACAGAAACCACCCCTGTAGACTCCCACTACCAAAACCTGGCCACGCAAACCCAATACCTGTTAGGACTGCTCCCCCTAAAGAAGTTCAACTGCCAGATTAGCTAGGGTGAAGGGGCGTACAACCAAAAATTTTTTTTGGAATAGCAGGGTTTCATATTGCCTAAAAAAGGCTAATCCTATGTATATATATATTTTATTGTTTTACATAACTGTTACAAATAGCAATCAAGGAACTAGTGGCAGAAAAAACTACCTGTCTTTTCTGGATTACCGTCTTTCTCCCCCTTACATTGCTCATTTGATAGTACTTGAATACTCTAAAGGTAACCAGGGGCAGTTTAAAGGTCTTCTAGGCAGTTGGCTGCTTTCTGCTTTTTATAGAAAGTGCTCATGTCATGCAGTAGTATAAGGGGGGTTAACCATTTCAGAGAGAAGGGGAACAAATTTCTGCAAATTTCTTATCCACTGATAGAGCAAGTAAAGTACTGGGTGCTGTAAATACATAAAAATATAAAAAGCAAGCTCCATTTCTTTGTTGTTGGTTTTAAACGAGCCCAAAAGCTTTTAAACAGAAACCTCTGTGAGAGGTGGACATCTATAGACAATGTAGTACAGCAGCTGGACAGAAAAAATTCTGTTGATTCCAAATTTCTTTGTGTTTTTGTCTTTAAAAGGGTATTTTTTTGCTAATTTTATAACTGCTGCTGTTTTTTAGCAAGAATTCTAGTTCAAAAACATGGGAGTACAAAATGCAGAAAGTATGCAGCTTAGGTCAGTGGGGAGGGTAGGAACAAAAGACCTTCACTTCTAAAATTATTTTTCAAGAAAGAAATAATTAGTTTTTAACATGATAAAATCTGACCGGTGTCCAAGCCAACTCTGTCATTTCATTACAACATGTGTGGTCTCTTGTATTTGAATACTGAACTGCAGCTGTGGAAAGCTTACAGAATATTTGCTTTTTGTTTTTATCAGGTTAAGATTTGGAACTTGACCAGACGACAGTGTATCCGCACGATACAGGCCCATGAAGGCTTTGTTCGAGGCATGTGTGCCCGTTTCTGTGGCACATCATTCTTCACTGTGAGTATTGTGGGGCTCCTCAGCAGCGCAGAGTACCTGCTCACCATCTGTTTTCCACTGAGAAGCTTGCTCTCTGCCATAGAACATTTAAATATTGTATGAATACGCTTATTAAATGTGTCGGTGAACCCGACAGTTCTATTTAGGATGAAGTTTTTTCTGATGCTGGGATATGGATACCATTCAAGAGCATGGAAGGGATAAATACCAGCAAAGAGCTAACAGATGGTCATGTAATTAAAACTGCAGTAAACTAGTTTTTTTTTAAAGTAGTAAATGGATTATGTTTATTGCAAGATGTAAAAAAGTTAAAATGTAACCATTTGCATACACATATACCATGTATAAAAGTAACTATTTGCATATACTATGATTAAAAGTAATCTGATTAAGTTAAGACCACTCCAGGTGAATAAAGCTTTATTAATTCATAAAAAAACCACGACAGATTCAGTTGCATGTAAACTGCTTGGAAATAGTATGTCTTCCTGTTGGCATTAAAACAGTTCTGAGATAACACAACAAGAACTGTTTTTGAAAACAGGAAGTGTCCTGAAGTTGTGCTTTGTTTAAACTGGTCATAGAAGAGCCATTTTCGCTACAGTATATTTATTTTTTTAAGGTATATACCAGGTCACAGGGACAGTAGTTAGGATATAGGGAAAGTCACAGTAAAAAACCCTAAGTGACTCCAAGTTAGTTACTCCCCTTT